CGACGCAGGCAAGAAGAGAGATATCCGGAATAGGTGTGAATCCGCTACGAGGCATATGGGAGTGCTGGGATGATAAGAACACTAGGATATATTCTCTACACCTAACGTACTCTATCACTGAGCTAGTCATATCACTGAACCAGTCAAAAACTCTTGGCGCGCCCAACTTATATTGTGGCAACTTAAATTACTCACTATTAAACAGTGATCTAGCGTACTGTGTACTTGCATTAGATTTAGAATCTTCTCCTATATCTTTCTAACACGTTTAAGTGTTGTGCCTAGTGCTTCTACAGTTTCTACAGCGCTGTTGGGCTACATAGGTCCTTTCTTAAGTATCTGCACCACGAGTCTTCTTTGACGGCTGAGCTGCTACAGACACCTCAGCAGCTACCCGTGATGCTGCTGGGCCGTACTCGAGTGTGCCGCCATGCTGAATCTGCTTTCGCTTGCGCGACTTCCTCCTACTTATAACTGCTAATTGCTCTTCAAGCTCAGTAATGCGAGCAGCTTAAAGCGCGTTTTGGTGCAGCATTAATTCACCACCTTTAATAAGCTGAGAGAAGCCAGCCTAAGCTGTGACTAGTGACCAGGTAAAGGAGTCATGCATAAGCTTTAACTGAGATCTAAACTTGTGTGTATTGCTTAGAGTCCTTGACTGCCACAGTGTCTCTGGTGGAGGGGATGCTGGTGGGGTACAGTACCGCACCTCAAGGCGATCCAACACTACCTGCGCGTCAGTAGGGTTGGTTGGTTGGTTGGTTGGTTGGTATTCATTTTACGTCTAGTTGATGAGGATAAAGTCCATCATCTCGCCTCCTAAAGGGCATATACGACGTGCTAAGCTATAGAATTACAGTGCTGCCACTACCTTAGAAAGCATTTCTTGCCTGCGTGGGTATTACTACTATTTTAGAACTACAGCTCCCCGTCCAGTTGGGGAGACTAAGCTGTGTGTGTACATTAGGGTGGATCCCTTGTGTGTGTTTAGAGGCAGTTAAGTGCTAGAGAAGTAGGAGAGAGGAAGAGTAGGAAGGTGTGGAAGCTGAGTGGTCTCTGATCGTTGATCAAGTGTGAAGAAAGTTATCAAGTTCCTTGTTCTATCTACGGTGCTGAATGAGCAGAATATATACACCAATGCTCATCCAGCTATACCCTAATTGGAGCCCTAATCACGGCTCCAAGCTATACCCGATTCCGCTCACCATGGCGTGATAGATCGCCAGTGTCTGATCGGTCCAATATCCAGATGCGGATCACGTGATATGCACCCTCACCTCGATCCTTGCTGCGACACACCCCCCAGGTGCCTGGATCACTGATCCAGGTGCCTGTATCGCAGCTGAGTTGTTACCTGATTGATCCCTGTCAAGATCGCTCTCCTTCACTTTGGTGGGGCTGCTGTTTGCTCCAGTGCCGCTCTAATCAGTTGATCTGGTAACCATAACAACTGATTGCATGGCGACAAACAGATCTTTTGTGCAATCACTGTCCTTTCTTCGTCTCTTTGATAACGATCAAGCTCTCCATACCTCTACCTCGAGCAAGTATGTTGATAATCCCATTCTCTCTCAATTGCTCACTGACTGATCAGACAACCAGACAGTACACGTTCGGAATCCACACGATCATGCCATCAGCCAAGCGCAACGCGTCGTCTGCCAGGCGATTATCTCTAGCCAAGAGGCAGAGGACTGTCGATCCACCGGTTGATCCGCTTGAGGGCACGAGCGGCTATGATTCAGAGGAGGGTTCCAACGATCAGGTGGACGGTGGTCAGGACGCTGATCACGAGGACAAGGACGAGCATGAGGACGAGGAGGACGATAGCGAGCTCGCTCCCATCACCCCCAAGCGATCCGGCCAAGCTGCTCGCGGCTCCAAAGATCAGGAGAAGAAGCACCCCAAGAAGGGCAAGAAGAAGGCCGCTCCGATCAAGGTTGGTGCCGCTCGTAAGGAGGTGTGTGGTGGGTGCGCCCTGCGTTTCAACGCAGGCCTGATTAATGGCATTTGCCATGATCGGCTCGATTCGAACAGCGAGCGCTGCGTTGAGTGTGGCACCCACTCCTGCTCCATTCTGTATGATCATTGATCCCTTGTTGATTCGTTTGTTTACTGACTCCAATCAGTCACAAGAACTCTGT